ATACATAGATATTACAGTGATATGCATATTATTGTAATAAGTCTTTCCACTTAAATAATGTATCAAGTCTACATAGTTTTATGGAAGTTTTCTATCAGATTTTAAGAAACACATAATCACTACATCATATAAACTATTTTAAAGCATAGAAAAAAAGGAGATGCTTATCAAATCATGAGGAAACAATGAGACAAAACTGGAATATGGGATGCTATTAAGAAAACAAAACAAAACTATATTAACTCAAATAGAGATTGAGGAGAAATAACTAGATATAGTACATTAGGAAGTGTGGTGTGATGCAGTAGGATAAGCACTGGACTGCTAACAACAATGTTGGTAATTCAGACCCATCATCTGCTTCTTAAAAACTCTGTACAAGATCACTATGCGTTTGAATCGACTTGACAGCACTTAACAACAGCAATAGTACATTAGAACTTTGATTGTAAATGGAATTGGTAGAAGAGAGACATAAAATATATTTTAGGAACAATTGGGAGATTTTTAATTTAAATGATATTTGAGTTTGATAATTGTTTTAGGTGTGATGGTGGTATTGTGGTAATGTAGGAGAAGGTCCTCCTTCTCAGCACAGTCCCAACTTCTTCAGTCTGAAATTGATCAAACATGGAATCAAGACCTATTGATAATTATGTAATTGGAATGTGAAAGTTGGGAACAAAGATTTCTATGGCCCTGGTGATAGTAATGATGCTAGAGATTGCATGATGGAATTTCACAAGAACAGTGACTTACTCATTGCAAATTTCTTTTTTCAACAACATAAACAGAGACTATACAGGCAGACCTCACCAGATGGAATACACAAAAATCAAATTGATTATATCTGCGGGAAGAGACAGTGGAGAAGCTCAGTATCATCAGTCAGGACAAGGCCAGGTGCTGACTGCAGAACAGACAATCAATTGCTCATAAGCAAGTTCATGTTGAAGCTGAAGAAAATAAAAACAAGTATACAAGAGCAAAAGTGTGTCCTTGATATATTAAGCTTCTCCATCATGTCTTCACACAGATATAGTCTGTTTGATTCCTGTGTATTTTATCTGGTGAGGTCCATGTGTATAATCCCCATTTATGTTGTTGAAAAAAGGTCTTTGCCATGATGATTAAGCCATTGGTCTTGCGAAATTTTATCATGCAATCTCCAGCATCATTTCTATCACTAAGACCATATTTTCCAATTAGCAATCCTCCCTCTTTTTTTTTAAAGTTTTTATTTTGCATTGAGTGATAGCTTACATGGGGGAACATTAGTTTTATACTTATCCTATTGTATTTCATGTCACTGTGATGATTACAACCCCCTATATGCATCATCATTCAACAGTATTTACTTCTATTCCCTCTGGGGTTTTTTTTTTTTGGAGGGGGGATGTACACCAAAACACTCAGGAGTATACTAATCATTCAAACAACCAAAGGGCACATTCTGCAAGCTTGCTCCCCAGCTGCCTGCACACATCCCCTCTTCCCCCATGAGTCTAGAGTCCTCAGCTGCTCCGTCTCTCCATGTCATCATCTCTGCCTCCATCTCTGAGTAGGGTCCCACACGCCACTCCTGCTCTTCTCCCTTGATGGTCACAGGGCCCTCTGTTCCTGAACTGTAAGATCAACCACTCACCCCTTTTTGCTACCTTTACAGTTGCGACAATTGCAATTAGTCATGATAACAGTTACTCACTACTGAATCATAAGAGTCTTATCCCCATCTTCTTTCATCAGACCCATCTAGACAGGATAAAAAGCACACAGTGTGGGTTCTACCTCCCACCCCACCCCCACCCCTCGCACACTCTGAATCTAAACTCCCCCTTGAAAACATGGAAACCAGTCACTTCGTGCCTTTATAGCCATTTTAGGAGTCCTGATGTGGTGCTGTGGGTTAATGCACTAGACTGCAAACTTGGTATGAACTGCAAGGTTGGTAGTTCAAGCTCACCAGTTGGTCTTTGGAAACCCTCTAGAGGGTCGCTATGGGTTAGAACTGACTTGATATGGCACTTAACAACAACAACAACATTTTAGGTAGCCAATGTCTAAGTTGCCCATCCCTGTCAAGCCTGACCAATCCTCCCTCATTGTTTCCAACTTTCTCATTTCAATCATCAATAATTATCAATGCATCTTGATTGTTATGTTTGATCAATTTCAGACTGAAAAAATTGGTGGTGGTTGTTAAATACCATTGAATTGGTTCCAACTCATAGCCACCCTGTATAGGGTTTCTGAGAAGCAACTGGTAGGTTTGAACTGCCGGCCTTGTGGCTCAAGCTGACCTTGAAGTCCAGCGCATTATCCTGAAGCACTACACCAGAACTCCAAAGAATTTGGCAGAATTCTTCAATTTCATCATCACTGGCTTCAATGGTTGGTGCATAAATTCAAATAATCGTGGTATTAACTGGCCTTCCTTGGAGACATATGAATATTATCTTATCACAGACAGCATTCTCTTTCAGGGTGGATGTTAAAATGCTGTTTGACAATTAATGTGACACCAGTTCTCTTCAGTTTGGCCTTCCTGGCGAGTAAGCCACAGTATTGTTTGATTCAAAATTACCAATAACTGTCCATTTTAGCTCACTCATGCCTAGGATATTGATCTTTATTCGTTTCACTTCTGTTTTTGACAATTTCCAATTTTCCTAGACTCATACTTTGTACATTGCACAGTCCAATTACTAATGGTGGTTTATAACTGTTTCTCCTCATTTGGAGTTATGTCCCATCAGTGCATGAAGATCTGGAAAGCTTAGTTCCATTCATACCACTAAAGTCAAATCTACTTTGAAGAGGAAACTCTTCGCCAGTCATATTTTGAGTGCCTTCCATACTGAGGGGTTCATCATCCGACATTGTGTCTGGCAATGTTCCTCTACTATTCATAAGGTTTTCAGTGGCTCAACATTCAGCAGTGGTCTGCCTTTCCTTCTTCTTAGCCTGTCTTAGTCTGGAAGCGCCATTGAAACGTGAGTGACATCCTGGTATTTAAAACACCAATGTCACAGCTTCCAGCACCACAGCAACATACTAGCCACCACAGTGCAGCAAACTGAGAGATGAGTTGTTGTTAAGCGCCATGGAGCCTGCACTTTCTGATGCTTTTTTTTTTTAATCTTTGTTGGAGCAAAAAGCCTTATCTTTGTCCCACGGAGCAACTGGTGGGCACAAACCACCGACCTTGTGGTTTGCAGTACAGTGCTTATCATATGAAGCCACTGTACTCCCCAACAGATGAATAGTGGATATAATAACATCTTACAATATTATTACTTTCCAAGACAAACAAAAGTGAAAATGGTATTGTACTTATTTACAATTTCTTTAACTCATGAATTAGCAGAAGACCAGTGGATGGTCATATTTTCATATGTATTCAATCTGTTGCAATATTGTTTTAGTTAAAGCACATGAAAATCTAGCTTCACACAGATAAGTAATTGAAAACAGGAAAGAGTATATATGTAACACTTTCATATAATTAAGGATATTCTTGATACTATACCAAAACTCAACAAGTGGTAGTTTTGAAAAGGTTAATTGGAAGGTGGAATTTGAAACCTTATCAATGAAATTTCATACTCTGATATACTAAAATCCACTGGTCTGTCTTACTCATTAAATGGATCATTTACCCATCATGCATGATTTTCACTTTTTGGATAACCCTGAAAGAATCTCAACTCCAGAGATACTCAACCCATATTTTGAGAACAAGTGTTATAGGCTAACCATGGAGCTGCATCTGATTACATACAGATGTGTCTCAAAACCCAAGATTTGATGCCAAACCATTCCAATAGTATTGTTTATTTCCTGACAGTAAATATGCTGAGCACCCACTCCGGGCCAATATGGTGCTAGGCCCAGGGAGGGGCACAAAAGAACCTCTACTGAAACTGAGATTGAATGTGAGAGAATTTCAATGGAACTGCCACTCCTGTAAGACCCTTATAAGCTAACTAGTGGGACAGAACTAACAAGATTTCAAAATTGGATGCCAGTTGAATGCTAAACTATGTGATGCAGACTATACCTGCAATTGGCTAGGGCTCAGAAAAGGGAAAGTTCATCATGTTTAAGAGTAGTAAAAGAAAACTAAGGAGGAAGGCTTTGAAAAGATTCGTTAAATAGAGAAATAGAAATCTAAAAAGAGGACAATTGCAAACAACAGAAGTAGGAGTGAGGATGGTATCGTTTGGGAAACTGAGGACACCTCCTTTACTAGAACCAAGAGTGACTGGTGGGAACTAATGGAAGATGAATGAATTCCAAAGATTGTGTCCCAAAATTCTAGAAAACTCAGATGACTAAGCTTAATTGGATAGAAAACTGTTGTCGTCCTGCCTCACTTATTTCTTAAATGCTGTCTTCTCAGATAGTCCTAAATTCTAGGATACCTCTAAGAGTCTTCCCAGAATTCACATGTATTAATGTGATCTTTCCCCCCACAATTCAAGCATTTTTAACATCTTAAGTGGCAAAAAACCCTTGGTAGAAATGCTCTATGTACTGTGTCATTCTCCATACCAAAGCTCCTTTACTTCCAAGAGATGGTTCATTGTCCAGTAATTATGAGCTAAAGAGGGGGAAAAAATAACAACCTTGTCCTCTAAATAGAAATTCCCATCCTTATGTCTCTTAGTTGGTTATATGTCACGGAGTCGCTTCCCACTCATAGTGACCCTGAATAGGATTTCCGAGACTGTAAATCTTTCTCCCATGGAACAGCTGGTAGTTTCGAACTGCTGACTGTGAGATTAGTAGCTTGATTTGTAACCACTACGCTACCAGAGCTCCTCCTTATAAGACCTTATGTCTCTAAGACCACAATATTTTTCTCCTCCAGTCACAGTCCCTTACCTTATGTGTTCCAATGTTTTTCAGGCATACAATCCATTTCAAATACTTTCCTTGAAATAACTAATCTACTTAACTTCACCTTTTTCTGTTTTTTTCTTCCTTTCTTCATAAAGACCTGAAGATGAGATGTTTTTAAAAAGACTTTCTAGTGGTTATATGGTGGCAAAGGACCCCACGGCTTCCCTTTTCTACAAAGAAGAAGGTAACAGAAAATTTCAGGAGAAGGATTATATGGGAGCAGCAGTGATGTACTCTAAGGTAAGATCCTCCCAGTCCAGCAGGAGGCACTATCGCAACAATTTAATAATGCATACTTTTTCAGAAGATTGAGTAACATTATGGAATTTTGCAGCCAGTATTAACTTTGTCTATAACTTGAGGAGAAGAAGACCTAGCAGAACTCTGCTATTATATTCTGAAGCAAAAAGTAGTTTGTGTTACACCCACTATACAAATATACACACCCACTCTACCACTCATCTGTCAGTTTGCCATCCTGTGGTAGCTTGTATGTTGCTGTGATGCTGGAAGCTATGCCATTGGGGTTTTAAATACAGCAGGTTATCCAGGTTTCAGCAGAGACTCCAGACCAAGACAGGAAAGAAAGAGAGGGTGGTCCACTGATGTTTAGCCAATGAAAACCTTATGAATACCCTGTAAACTTTTACTTAATCCACAATAAAAACCTTAAAAAAAGAAAAATGCTATCAATTTCCTATTAGCAGATTCTTATTTTTTTTTAAAAAAAAAGCAATCTTATATCCAAAGTTTGGTGAATCAATGTATATGTTTTAAATTACATTAAAATTGTTGTAAAATGTAAAAAATTAAAAAACCCTATGAATAGCAGAAGAACATTGACAGACATAACCGGAAGATGAGCCCCTCAGCCATGGAAGGCACTCAAACTATGACTAGGGACGAACTGATTCCTCAAAGTAGATTTTAATGGCATGAGTGGAGCAAAACTTTCCAGACCTTCATTTGCTGATGGGACACAACTCAGAATGAGAAGAAACAGTGGTAAACATCCATTAATGATTGGAATGTGGAATATATGAAGTTAGGAGAGTTGGGAGTTGACAAAAATGAAATAGAATACATAAAGATTGATATCCTAGGCATTGGTGAGCTGAAATGGACAGACAGGTATTGGCCATTTTGAACCAGATAGTCCATATGGTTTACTGTGCCAGGAATGAAAAATTGAAGAGGAATAGTGTCACATTTATCATCAAAATGAGCATTTCTCTCTTGAAGTACGTTATTGTTTTGTAATAGGATAATATCTATATGACTACAAGGAAAATCAGCTAATACCACTATTACTCAGATTTGCACATCAGCCACTAAAGCCAGTGATGATGAAATTGAGAATTCTACCAACTTCTTCAATCTTAAGTTGATCAAACATGTAATCAAGATGCTTTGATAATTACTGGTCATTGGAATGGGAAAGTTGGAAACAAAGAGGAAGGATCAATAATTGGAAAATATGGCATTTCTTAGGATTCTGGAGAACACATAATAGAATTTTGTGAAAACAATGACTTATTCCTTGCAAATACCATTTTTCAAAACATAAACAGGGTATATACACATAGACCCTCATCAGGTGGAATACACAGGGAATCAAATCGACTGTATCTGTAGGAAGAGGCAAGAAAGAACTCAAACTCAGTATCATCAGCTAAAACAAGGCCAAGGGCAGACTACTAGAACAGTGTCAGGCTGAAGCTGAAGAAAATTCAGACAAGTCCACAGGAGCCAAAATGTGACCTTGAATATATCCCACCTGAATTTAGAGACCGTCTCAAGAACAGATTAGATGCATTAGGCATAAATGACTAAAAACTAATAGAGTTGTGGAATGGCATCAAGAACATAATCCATGAAGAAAGCAAAAGATCATTAAAAAGACAAGAAAGAAAGCAAAGACAAAAATGGATGTAAAGTGACATAGCCACAGAGGACTAGAGTGGAGAGTGAAGCGTCCAGCTGATAAGAAGAGAGGGCATATGCACAAGAACACCCACACTTGCAGATAATACCCACTTGACCTAGCTTCAGTGACTGGATGATAAGAGCTCAACTAGAAAAAAAGAGTAATCTGGAACAATTTGATAAACTTGACCTGCACCTATGGAAGCAGTAGCTCAAAAGAGGGAACAAATCTTTACAGCAAGGATCACTCCCACCCCCTCAGAGTAGACAGGGATAGGCCACTTGGACATTGGCTACCCAAAATGCGGGGGGCTACTAAGGCAAGAAGTGACTGGCTTACAAGCTTTCAAGAGGGAACCTAGATCTAGAGGGCATGGAGAAAGGTAGAATCTCACTAAGTAGTAGCCAGTTTATCTATGTGGGGCTGATGAAAGGAAATGTGGATAGGTCTCTTGTGAAACAATAGTGAATAATTGTTACCAGGACTGATTGTGAGAGTTAGAAATGTAAAGTTAGACGTTTTGTAGCAAGGAGGGGAGTGATTAACTTTTCAGTCTAGGAGCGGAGGTCCCTGGGACCATCAAGGGAGAAGAGCAGAGAGCAGGACCCTACCAGAGAAGCAGTGACGCCAGAGATGGAGGCAGAGAAGATGACGTAGAGAGATGGAGCAGCTGGGGACTTTAGACCCAAAGAGGGAGAGGGGCTGTGTGCTGACGACCAGGGAGCAGGCTTTCAGGGTATACTTTTTGGTGGGGTGATGATACATGGATGGGATTGTAACCATGGCAATGAAACGATATACGATAGGATGAATGTAAAACTAATGTTCTCCCAAACTATCACATAATTCACAATAAAACTTTTTTTTTTTTTTTAATGGATGTAAGAAGATATTCTGAAAATTGTTGTTGCTCATAGAGAAGCTAAAGCAGCTAGAAGAAATGAAGTAAAAAAGCTGAACAGAAAATTTCAAAGGGCCGTTTACAAAGACAGTGTCAACTATGATGATGAAATGTGTTTGTCTTTCTGAATCTAAGACATATTGGTTGTAAGCTAACACTGTGGCTAACCCAGATCTAGCTGCTCTCTAAAATCAGGACTATCAAACCAATAACCTTCATCAGTCATTCAGACAAAAGGCAGACAGTTCAACGAGAGCTGTCAGACATGAATCAGAGGCATAGTAAACTTACTGTTACAAGGCATCTGAAAGGATATGGGAAATGAATATGGGAACAAGATTTTCTTAGTGGCATTCAGGACATGTATACATACCCCTCACTTAGCTACACAATTAGGTTCCAAATACCAAGTTATTACATGATAGCAGATATTAAGTGAAAATGGAGAATGACTACATCACATCACAAAATACAGGATGACTGTATGGCACTGTGGGTTAATGCTCTGGACTGCAAAGTTGTTTGAATTGCCAGATAGCAGTTCAAGCTCACCAGCTGCTTCTCAGAAACCCTATACAGGGTCACTATGGATGGGAACCAATTCAATGGCACTTAACAATATATTATTACATATAACTCCCAAATTACATCCTTATATAATTGCCAAGCCACTGAGAATCAGGGCACAGCCGAGTTGACTAGTAACCTTAACCATCGCAGTGTTACTCTTGTCTATCCACCCAGGCATTCATTACATCGTTAATGTGCAGAATAGTTGGATAGTAGATTTCTCAATATTGTTGCCAATGTGAAATGTTGGACAATGAGATAGTCATAAGTGAGGTTGATGGTCGCTGTGAGGTGCCATTGAGTTGGTTCCGACTCATAGCAACTGCTGGTTCGACATCAGCCTCACGATGTTTGCTATTTTGGAGCCCACTGTTACTATCACTGTATCAGAACCATCTTGGGGGTCTTCCTCTTTTTTTGCTGTCCTCCGCTTTAACAAACAAAAGTGCAGAGTGAAACGTACAGAGACCTGGAGAGAACACACACAGCATTTAAGCTGAAAAAATTCAAGAGAAAATTGAAGCTTCGGGTTGCAATATTGAAGGATTCTAAGGGTATTGCTGTGGCGTTGTATGATAAGCATTGGACTGCTAGCCTCAAGGTTGGCAGTTCAAATCTGCCAGTCCCTCCTTGGAAACCCTATACGGAGTCTCTATGAATTGAAATTAACTTGACGGCACATAACAGCAACAATGGGTAAAATATTGAATGATAACTGAAGTTTCAAAACAAGATGGAAGGAATACACAGTAGCTCTACCAAAAAAGAATTGATCTTTTCAAGAGCTAGCATGTGGTCAAGAATTTATAGTATTGAAGGAAGAAGTCTGAACTTCACTGAAGGCATTGGAAAAGAGCAGGATTCCAGGAACTGATGGAATACAAATTGAAATGTTTTAACAAACTGATGTAGCACTGGAGGTGCTCACTCATCTATACCAAGAAATTTGGCCAACCAAATGGAAAAGTTCCAAATTTATACCCATTCCAAAGTTGACCCAACAGAATACAAAAATTACCAAACAATATCATTAATATCACATGTAAGTAAAATTTTGCTGAAGACAATTACAAAATAATTGCAGCATAACTGACAGGGAGCTTCCAGAAATTCAAGCCAAATTCAGGAGATGACTTGGAATGAAGGATATCATTGCTGATGTCAGATGGATGTTGACTAAAAGCAGAGAATACAAGAAAGATGTTTGCTAGTGCTTTATTGACTAAGCAAAGGCATTTGATTGTGTGGGTTATAACACTATGGATAACATTATGAAGAATGGGTATTCCAGAACATTTAATTGTCCTCATGAAGAACTTGTATATAGACCAAGAGGCAGTTGTTCGAACAGAACAAGTTGATACTGAATGGTGTAAAGTCAGGAAAAATGAGCTCATTGTCCACTGTCCTCTTGAACTCCATTTGTAAGCTGTAATCTTATACTAATATGAGTGAGTGACAGTCAACTGATTTTTATTGTGTAATTATAGTTTAACCATCAACAAGCTAGGTTTTGAGGAGAAATTATGACTCTTAATAATCTGTTATTCTTACTATCCAGCTTCCACAGTAGGAGCGAGAACAAGCTCCCTTGAGAGTCTTCATGCTTCTAAGAGATGAGCTTAAAGTAAGAGTGTGCCAATCTCTTGTACCTGATCTGTGACTTAGTACATCTTAAAAAAAAAAAAAAAAGGAAATTTGAGTCTTTAACAGGCCTATGCCTAAAGTTTGGAATTCATTTTCCAGAAATGATCAGACCTACCACAGTAGCTTCTGTAGGTATAGAAGCTCTGCCTTACAATATGACTACTGAAGGATTAAAATCCATTAGGTGTAATGATCCAATGATAAATGGCTTATTAATTCTTTTTCAGAGTTAATCTCTTTGACTTTATGCATGTACATCATAATATGATCACATGGGAAGTTCAAGAAAAGCAAAATGAAAAGTGAAGTCAGACAAAAACTTAGGTCTACTCTGGATGTGGAGCGAGATGAACTACCTTATTTCATGATGCTAGTATTTAGGTGATTGTGGTACTTTATAATTTTAATAAAGCTGCTATCTTCTTTCTTTTTAAAAATATTTTTTTTTATCTGATTATATGTTTACTTTGGAAAATGTAGTGAAGCATGTTGTTGTTGTTGTTGTTAAGTGCCGTTGAGTCGGTTCTGACCCATAGCAACCCTGTGCAGGGTTTCCAAGGGTGTAAATCTTTACGGGAGTAGAAAGCCTGATCTTTCTCCCGCCGAGCAGCTGGTAGTTTCGAACCACTGACCTTAAGGTTCACAGCCCAATTCGTAACCACTACACTACCAGAGCTCCTTGTAGTGAAGCATAGAGAGTAAAAAAAAAACCATCGCTAATAATAGACACTGTTAACATTTTTGCTTTTATCCATCCAGTCACATTTTTACATTTTTTCCTCTGAAAATCCATTTTCTTTTACAAAATTGGAGTCATGCTGTACTTACTATTTTGTAGCCCACTTTTTTCCTTCAACCATTGATTGTGATCATTTCCTCATGCTATTAAGTTTCTACTACAACATGAGTTTTTACGACTGACTTAATGTGCCATTACACAAGTGAGCTTGATTTAACATCTAATGTTGGCAAAAGGAACCTTGGTGGTGGAGTAGTTTAAATACTTGGCTGTTGAAAGATGGTGGTTCAAACTCACCAGCCACTCCACAGGAGAAAGATGTAGCAATCTGTTTCCATGAAGATTTCAGCCTTGGGAACACTGCTGTAATCTGTAGAGTCACTATGGGTCAGAATTGACTCAACAACATAGGGTTTTTGGTTTTTGGAAAGCATTTATTATATTTCTTAGTCCAGTTATGTGATAAATATAGCTATAAATTGTTTAAATGGAATAGTTCTTAGATTATATTCATGCTAACAAAATTGTTCTGTAACATTATTAGTAACTGAATGGATAAAATCAACTGTTTTGATTTTTATCTTCTCCTTTAATTGCTGTCTAATTCTCAAAAAAATTGACAAATTGTTGATATCTTAATAATGTGATGAATATCTCTCTATGTAAATATTCATACATATCTGATTATTTTCTTAGACTAAATTCCCACAAGAGCAATTACAAAGTCAACAGGAAAGTGTTTTTTAAGGCTTTTGGTCCTAGATACTGAATGGTTCTCCAGGAAAGAACTAGTTAGCATTTCATCTAGCAAAGTAAGGGAATGTTCATTCTCTGTATCTTATGCTAAAACTGGTTATTACGGTTATATTACTACTATTAGTAGTTGTTGTTGTTGTTGTTAAGTGCCGTCGAGTCGGTTTCTACCCATAGCGACCCTGTACAGGGTTTCTGAGGGTGTAAATCTTTACGGGAGTAGAAAGCCTGATCTTTCTCCTGCAGAGCAGCTGGTAGTTTCGAACTGCTGACCTTAAGGTTCGCAGCCCGATTCATAACCACTACGCTACCAGAGCTCCTTAGTTCTATTTAATTTTAATTAAAAGTATGTTCTCATAGTCTGCTTCTCCTGACCCCTAGCCACTAGTTTCTCATCCCCAGAAACTACCATTGTTAAATGTATGTATGTACAAATAAGTATAAATAATCTTCCATGAGCACAAACTATTTTTTTTTTTTACTATTATACAATCTTTTTGTTTTGTTTTGTTTCTTTGAGTTACAGTTCTACCTTCCTCGTAGCAAATTAGCAGGTTCATTTTCCTCTTCATGTCAAACTCCCCCCTAACCCACCCCATCCCAAGAGCATCCCTACAGTAGTGAGCACAACAAGTTAAAAAACATCAAGAAATATGAATAGGTGACTTTTAAGGAAACAATAGTGGGTATTTCAGCCTCTTAAACTAACACTATGTCGTGGTTTAAAACCTTAAGCTGCATTTTGACAGAACATAGAACATAGAGCAAGTATTCCAACGGGTTACAATTGATTTTGCAGAGCTAGAGTCACCTAATTGCACCGATTTGTAGATTGTACTAGGCTTGTCCACTTTCCCACATTTTCAGCTGCACGAGGGCATCAGTGGGCCCGGGCTTCTTGTGGAGGTGGCACCTGACTCAGTTTCACCAGCACCATGAAGTGCCAAAGGCTGCCGGGTGAATGTTATCCCTGAGTGAAAGATGGAATGTAGACCTGGATGGAGAAAAGCAAAAGCTACCCTAAAGGCCCCTGCCCTCCATGCTTTAGTTCCCTGAGAAACTCCTGGCATCAGGCCCAACCCCATGCCGGCACAAAGCAGAGTGCACTCTCAACAACTCATTGGCAACACTGACACCCACAAACTCTTTTTACAGAAGTGTTTGCACCATGCTTTCTTCACTTAACAATAATTTTGACGATCTTTCCTCATCAGTACATAAAGCACTTCTCATTCTTTTTTATAACTGCATGACATTTCATTAAGTGCCTGTATTGTAACGTATTTAACCAGTATCTTGCTGATTAACATTTAGGTTGTTTCCTGTCTTTTGCTATTTCAAACAATTCTGTGATTAGAAACTTGGCATATATGTAATTTTTTATGTGTCTGCAAGATAGATGATTGTATTTGTAAAATAAGTGCTTAGAAGAGGAAATGCTGAATTAATAAGCATATTTATAATGTGTGTGTGTATACATAGCAAAATTTGTTTATTAATCTTTTATATATTGTCAAAATTGCCCTCCTTAAACATAGGACATTGTACGCTCCCACTTGTGGTGCTGTGGGATAAAACACTAGACCACAAGGCGGTTTGAACCACAAGGTTGATGGGTCAAACCCCTAAGCCACTCCTTGGAAACCCTTTACAGTGTTGCTATGAGTTGGGACTGACTCATTAGCACTTAACAAAACAACAAAGCAACATATGACATTGCCCATTATCTCACCTGTTTGCCAACTCAGTGCTATCAATTTTATCATTATAATTATTATTTTTGTCAGTCTGATAGCTTATAATATGGTATCTCAGTAGAGTTTAAATTTGCACTTAGCTGATATGAATGAGGTTGAACGCTTCTCCATATGTTTAGAGCCATCTATATTTCTCATAAGAACTGTCTGTCCATATCATTTGCTTATTTTCCTACTGGATTATATTGGTTGTCATCTTGTTGATTTACAGGAACTCATGATAGAATAAAGAAATTAGCCCTTTGCCTGTGATGAGTTGCATATATCTTTTCCTGTCTATTCTTTGTCTATTGACATTGCTTTCAATGGTTTTTACTCTGAAAAAAAAACAAACTTTTTTTTGAACGTTGTCAAATTTGTTAACCTTTTTCTTAGGACTTCTGTGTTTTCGGTCATCGTTAGAATGCTTCACTACAGTTTCTTCAAGTGATTTCATAGTTTGTTTACATTAAGATTTTGATGGATTTGGAGTATATTCTAATGAAGTGTTTATTGTATAAAGGGCCAACTTTATTTCTTTCTCAATGACTACTTTTTGTACCAATATTTTCATTCAGTAATCCCCATCTTTTCTTCAGCAATACCACTGTTATGTTTATAATTAATCATTTCCAATTAGGAAACAAATGTATCCCTTTTGTGCTGTAATTTTAATATATTTCACTATCCATAATATTAATTAACCAATTATTTTCCACACATGGATTAATCATTTGTGTTTCTTCTGTTGTGAATTCCTATTTATGACTATTGTCTTTTGTTACATGCAGGATTATGCTGGTAAGTAGTTCCCTTTTTTTTTTTTTTAATTTACCTTCCAAGTTGCTTGTGGCATTCTGCTGTCTTAGCTTCAAAGTGCTTTGGGTATTTATTTCCTCATAACTGTGATCTAATGTAGTTAGAGATGAAGCTGAAGCACAAAGAAGCTCATTAACTTTCCCAGCTGTGTACAGTGTTTAGTAATAGGGCGCCTATAACCTGAAAAAGTACTTGATGCATGTAACCCATCATTGTTTTACAGGGAGTATCGCATTCACTGCCTGCCACTGAGCACATCTCACTGTGCTATGCCAATCGTTCCGCAGCCTTCTTCCACCTGGGTCAGTATGAAGTAAGTACTGGGGTGCCTGGGGCTATTCGAATCTACAGGCGAGTCACTTGAGGGCAAGGCCAGGACTAGACCTTCATCTCTGCTTCCACATTTGAACACTAAAATCAAGCCATGCTGTAGGTGGTTGGATTTGAAGTATATTGATACCTACCATCTTAGCTCTGGTAGCATAGTGGTTACGAATCAGGCTGCGAACCGCAAGGTCAGCAGTTCGAAACTACCAGCAGTTCTGCGGGAGAAAGATGAGGCTTTCTGCTCCCGTAAAGGTTTACAGCCTGGGAAACCCTATACACGGAACTGATTCCACGGCACATAACAACAAAAAATCTTAGTTATTTAGTGCTGCTGCACAGAAATATGACAAGTAGATGGCTTCAACATGCAGAAATGTATTCTTTCTCACAGTTTAGGAGGCTAGACATCCGAATTCAGGACTCCATCTCTAGGGGAAAGCTTTGTCTCTACCAGCTGTGGAGGAAGGTCCCTGTCTCTTGTCAACATCTGTGGGTCCAGCATTCCTTGAAGATCTCTGTGTGTCTTGGCATCAGTCTTCTCCTGGGTCCACAGACTCTCAGCACAGTGACCCTAAATTCAAATCACACTCCATTCCTGTCTCTTCTTTCTTAGTATAGTCAGGTTGCGCCTCTCTGCTTGCTTCTCTCTCCTTTCATCTCTTATAAATTAAAAGATGTGCCTTGAGCAAGGGTGGGAATCAAGGTACAGCCCTCCCTGATCCTGAGTCATTAACCTATAGAGGTTAGACTTTATAACACAGATCACAAAATGGAGGACAACCACCCAGTACTGGGAACAATGATCTAACCAAATGTGACATGTATTTTAAGGAGACACAATTCAGTTTATAATACCCACCCAAAGTGTTCTTCCTCATTTTACCTGTCACAGGTTATCATTTGGGGTTGTTTTGGTTGACAGGAGTTACAGGACATTCCACAGAGCCATGAACTAGAACCCCTAGGTCAGCCGTTCTCAGTGTCAAGTTCAGCTGTAAGATAATGTTGCTAATAATCAGGTTCCAAGTGTTTGTACACTATTTACTGGGGTTTTGTTTTAAGCAAGTAGAGCTTGTTCAAGATTAGCCCTGTAATAGTATGTAGCTTACCCTCAGCATGCTTTTCTGAGTGGGAAAGTAAAGATGAAATGCCTCTGTGTGCCCTTGAAGAGGTGAACTTTATTTTAGTGACTTTTCTCATCCCTCTAATTGTGGAGTTGTTTAATCAGGGAAGTGGCCATAATCAGGTTTATGTTTTAATAGGAACTGTGAGACATCGTAGAGAAGTAACAGAGAAGTTAAAGGACAAATTCTAAAATATCAGTGTTAAGCATCCATTTTGGAATTTCAGAGCACTTTAAATTATACTTAGATTTAAGAACTATTCAAAAAGCACAAGTTCACACTTACTGTCCTTAGGAGTCAAAGAGAAGAACAAGAATCTAACTGCAGGCATTTCTAAGCAAGGAAGTCCTGGAATGCTGAGGACAGTGATTACAAGAACTTACAAAACATTTAGCCTTTAATGACCTCCCTGTGGGCGCCTGGTGTGGTGCTGTAGGAGCAGACTGGACTTGGAACCACAAGATTGGCAGTTCAAACCTACCAGCTGCTCCTCGGACACCCTATACAGGATCACTATGAGTGGGAATCAACTCGATGGTATTTAACAACAACAACAACAACCTCCCTTTATTCATTCATTCTATTTCCCTTCTTATCATAATGATTACCACTTATTGAATATTATATTCCTTAGCACTTTAGATACATAATCTTATTTTATCCTTAAAACAGCTCTGTATGGTAATATTACTTTTCAGATGAGAAAACCATGATATACTGAGAAATTGGGTCACTCACTCAAGGTCATACAGGTAGTAAGAGACAATGTTAGGTCTTTTGACTTCAAAGTCTGCTCTCTCAGTCACCATCCTGTAATTCTTCTATCTATAAAACTGTATTTTCCTTAAATGCAGAAGTTTTTAGTAAGACAAACATAATTTCCTCAGTGAGTATTATTAATCCACTCAACTAAAAGATCACAGGGGTAAAACATGACTTAAAGAAATAAGCATTTGGTTATAGTTGTCTGTTTTTAATCATTTTTAACTATTCTGTATATATCTTTAAGGTTTTCAGTGGACACTGAAGAATAGGGACCAAGGGTCATTTGGGGTTTCCTTTCTATTTTCAGACATGTCTTAAAGACATCACCAGAGCACAGAGGCATGGGTATCCAGAAAGATTGCAACCCAAGATGTTGTTGCGTAAGGCGGAGTGTCTTGTGAGCCTGGGGCAGCTACAGGAAGCAAGCCAGACCCTCAGTGATCTTGAAAGGATCTTCACTGCCAAACCTACACTGGCAGCTTCCCACTTTCAGGTTATGCAGAGAAACCTGCATCATCTGAAAATAAAGGTACAAGGAAAGGAGACTGTTGCAGAAACCTTCCCAGCAGATCTAACCAAAGCTTTTAAGGATGTGGACCTAATGGAAGAGAATGAACAAATTCCTGGTGCATCATCATCTGTCAGCTTACGTACAGACCCTCTCAAAGGCCGCTATTTGATTGCCACAAAAGATATTCACCCAGGAGAGCTCCTGGTGAAGGAGGAGGCCTTTGTGAGTGTCCTTAACCCAGGAGAAATGCTACAACTGCACCATGGCCTAGAGAGCAAGTGGGACATCAGAGTTACCAATGGGGACCTCCACTGCCACCGATGTTTGAAGTACTCTCTAGCTCTGGTTCCCTGTGAGCAGTGCAGCTACGCCAAGTATTGCAGCCAAGAATGTATGCAGCAGGCTTGGGAGCTTTACCATAGTGTAGAGTGTCCCCAAGGGGGGCTACTTCTCACACTTGGGGTCTTTTGCCATGTTGCTCTGAGATCAACTCTTTTAGCTAGGTTTGAAGATGTTGGTAAAGTCATAAGGAAGCTTTGTGGTGAGATTAGTAACAAAGACATCTGTTGGCCTGAAATCGAGAATAAGTTCAGTGATGACCTGGGGAAGAATGAGGAAGATGGAAAAATAGTTGAGACCCCAATTCCTGGATTTGATATTAATGGAAAATATGAAATTAATTACAATGCTGTCTTCAACCTTTTGCCCCATACTGAAAACCATAGCTCAGAGCACAAATTCCTCTGTGGTCTAAGTGTTGCTGCACTGTGCAAGCAGCTAGAGACAGCCAGATCATGGGCCCTCATACAAAATCTGAAGTTCTCGAAGCCGAAAGCAGCAGTGACTCCTGGGTTGTCTCCAGAGTTGAGTATTTGGGGAGTGGCGATGCTGAGACACATGTTACAGTTGCAGTGTAATGCCCAGGCAGTAACCACCATCCAACAGACAGGTAAGAGAGAAACTTAGTTTTCTACCTTATCATAAGGTTCTTGATGTAGCTGATATTGAGAAACAAAGAACTCTACACAAAAACAGACTTCAATCAAATCAGTCTAATGGGAAAACACAGCTCCCATGTTATTATCATGATTGTGCCAGTGAGATTTGTGTCACGTAAAGAAGCTATTAATCCCACTGCCTCAGTTTTCTCATATGTAAAATGGGAAGTTTAATCCCACCTAATTTTAAAGAGTTCAGAGAATGACATATTCTTGTGAAAGTACTTTAAAAAGTTAAAAGCATTATTGCTAAAATTTTTTGTGACAGAAGACTGACTGAAGTAAACAGTAAAATAGCAGGTTTATTATAAGGTACATGTGAAGGTAAATCAAAAAGTATTGCTTACTAGGGTTCCATTTCATGAGTTTATTCCACACAAATCATGTTTAAGCATGTCTGTAATCAGTGGATGGCTTCAGACAAGTAATAACACTTGTCTCGAAAACATTGGCTTCCAAGGGAATCTGCTGAGCCAGTTAAATTCAAGGCAAGAGGTTATGGTGACTGTTTTTGGGGATTCCAAAGGAGTCATCTTGATAGATCTTCTCAGAGGGCACAAAATAATCATACAGGGACTTACTATGAATAGTTTTAAGAAAATTGAGGAAAAGGTCAGGAAAGTTGCACCAAGGAGTTTGTTCCATCATGCCAATGCACCTGCTCATTCTTTGTAGATCGCAAGGGCTGTCCTAGAAAAAATACATTAGTAAACCATATTCCGTCTACCTTTTAGCCCTCATCTTGCCCCAAAGCTCAAAGAACATATTAAAGGAACGCCATTTGAGGATGCCAAAACTGCTTTGACCTTGTGTGAAATGAGACGTGCAAAATTTTTCAGTGAAGAGTTCGAGAGATGGAAACACTGCCTTCAGAAGTGTATAGACCTAGATGGAGGAGATGTGGAGAAATAGCTTCATGTTTTGATTTAATACAGGTTTCTGTGATTTTTTTGTAGCAATACTTTTTGACTTGCCTTCATACACAGGACTTCAGGGAAAGCTAAATAGTTCTTTCCTTAGGAAAGGCAGAAATAATTAACTAAGCAACTGTAGAAAGAGCAGGGACTGTGAGGTCTCTGGCTTGAGACTCTTCTATAAATCTTCTATTTGCAATTAACAATTTCTTACTATACTTCCATTTTAAATTTCTGAAAGAGTTGTGACCCCTGCATATCTTTTCACACCATACTATGCATAAACTAGTGGCCAGCCTATGCATGAGCTGTCCTTTGGTCAATGGGCCAGCTCACGCGATCCAGGGACATATCAAGACCAGACCAGCCCCTGAGCCTGACTTTGTATATAAGACTCTTGAAGTTAAATGGGGATGTTAGATATGCCAGTCTTCATCTTTAGTACAACTGTTCTGTCAACAGATGTAACTATTAGTAGGGGGAAATGGCATTTCTACTATTAATAAAAGGAGCTCTGGTAGCATAGTGGTTACGAGTTGGACTCCTAATCTTATGGTGAGCAGTTCGAAACTGCCAGTGGTTCCACAGGAAAAAGATGAGGCTTTCTGTTCCCATAAAGATTTCCAGCCTCAGAAACCCTGTACGGTGTCACAGTGAGTCAGAACTGACTCCACAATACATAACAACAAATGATGATTATTAATAATGTTTAATCACCATCTTAACAGAAAATGTATCGTAATCCAACCAGTTCACTATACAAAAGAACTTCAAAAAGTTTGTGGAAAAATTCTGTTATCTTTCAATTCTACTTTTCCTTGAACTTTTTGAAGCCCCCTTGTATATACTTTTTTTCTTAACTTTTTGTGAATTGGGTGAAGGTTTACAGACAAGATCATCAGCTCTACATTCAGCAAACTGTACATCTTGTTTCATCACAATGATTACAATCCCTTCCCTGCAACATTTATCCTACATCCTCCCTGTAGCACCCCATTTACATATTACATTTCACAAATGAACAAGGAACAAATATTTGCTGTACTCTTACAAAGCAAAACAAAAATATATGTTCATTTAAATGTTCAAAGGGCACATTCTGCAAGCCAGCCTCCCACCTGAAGGCACACAGCCATTGTGGTCACTTTTCTAGGTAGAGATCTCACACTCCATTCATGCTCTTCCTTCTTGATGGTCCTGGAATCATCCATCTGTTCTGAAATGAAACATTACCTACTCCCTCCTTTTAGTTGCACATCTGCTACAATTATAGTTGTGACTATCACAATTAATTCTGCGAACAATTCACAATTGAGTCATAATAGGCTATCACTGTCACCCCTTTCAGCAGATCATTTGTGAAGGAAGGAAACTGTTCAGTGGGGATTCTACTTTACCTTCCTCATTCTGCAACTAAGCACACTCATGAAAGCCTGTAAGCTAACCACTTGATGCCTTTGTAGTCCCCTCTACCATTTTTTATAGCCAATATCTAAATTTCTTGTCCCTATCAGCCTAGTACACTGAAGAAACAAGGTTGTTCCTTGATTGTATATACTTTTGTAATTTTCCTAGTTAATCCTATTGTGGGGTTAGGAGGATTAAGTATTAGCTTACTCTATCTAGTGAGCTCTGATAGCGTAGTGGTTACGAATTGGGCTGCGAACCAAAAGGTCAGCAATTCGAAACTACCAGCTGCTCTGCGGAAGAAAGATGAGGCTCCTGCTCTCGTAAAGATTTACAGCTTTGGAAACCCTGTTCAGGGTCGCTATGGGTCGGAACCTACTCGACGGCACTTAACAACAACAACAGGGTTTATAGGCACATATTATATTGAACATGGTTTAACCAAACTAGGGATAACTAACTCTGTTCACATCACCAAAAAGCCAAACCAAAGCCATTGCCATCAAGTCCATTCCAACTCAGAGTGACTCTACAGGACAGGGTAGAACTGCCCCCATGGGTTTTCTAAGAGTGAGGGTGACAAAACTGTCTCACACACTGTGGACATTTTATCAGGAAGGACCAGTTCCTGGGGCTGGACATCATGCATAGTAGAGGAATGCATGTGTGCATTTCATGCAGTGAAAAAGAAGGTGACCCTCAACACGATGGTTTGACGTAATGGCCTCATCAGTAAGGCAAACATATCCAATGGTGATGAGGTTGGCACAGAACTGGGCAGTGTTTCTATTGTATGTGAGGTCGCTGTGAGTTAGAATCAACTCACTGGCACCTGACAATAATCTTTACTGAAGCAGACTGCCAACCTTTTGGTTAGCAGCTGAGCGCTTAATGACTGTACCACCAAGGCTCCTTTTTCATATTAGGTAATGTAGAATTCTGCCATCCAGTTTGTATGTTTGTATCCTTTATTTTAATTCAGCTATGACGTTGTGTGTGGGTATCTCACTAGGGGTATTTTGTGCAGGACTCTCTTTTCCATCCAAAAGCAACACTGGCCTCTTTCTGTGATAATACCAGATAGAGCACACTGCAAGCTGGTCTTCATTTTAACTGTTTTCATTTTGTTTTGTTTTTCTGAATATAAGAATATAACAAATGGGCCTCTGTGTTTGTTACCTTTGTTTGTTGTTGTTAAATACCATCCAGTGGCTTCCTGCTCATAGGGACCCTGTATAGCGTTTCCGAGGAGCAGCTGGTGAATTTGGACCACCTACCTGGTGTGGTGCTATGGGTTAATGCGCCAGACTGCAAAGCCATTTGAACTGGTAAGTCGGCGGTTCAGACTCGACAGCACTTAACAACAACAACAACAACAACCTTGCGATAGGTAGGACCACCTGCCTTTCTCCAGCCCATGGGAGAAAAGCCCACGGGACCTTCATTTGCTGATGGGACACAATTCAAAATGAAGAGAAATAGCTGTAAACATCCATTGAAAATCGGAACATGGAATGTACAAAGTATGAATCTGGGAAAATTGGAA